ATGCAGACTTAAGTCTGCAAGGGCATTATTGCTGGCAGAGGGCATTAGTGCTTGTGGGGCATTATTGCTTGCAGGGTATGAAGAGGCTGTCTGCCGGTTTTGCATCTACTGTGGTCTCCGAGTGTTTCTTTTCTCTCTCACCTCTCCAGACATCCCACCTAGATTTAGTCCAAGAAGGGAAAATGTCAGCCACTGAGCATTCTGTCTGGCAGCTTGCATCAAGCCCAGGTGTCTGTCTTCTTTGTATCTGTTTTCTCTGTGTCTGTTTTCTCTCTCTCTATCTCTCTCTCGCCATCGTCACTGGACACCCCATCTTCGGGTCCTCACCCTCTTGCCGAGGCCAGACCCTGGCAAATCACTTTGTCTTGAAGCTCTGAGAAGGCCTTGCTCGACTCCATTTTCACCACTGCTGCCATTTTCGTTTGCTCTATATGCCTGCGTGGTGGGAGACAGACGAGAAAGGGTTTTTCCTTCTTTCTTGTCTTCTCAATGATTTTTTGCTTTCTTCAAGTATGATGTTCTTGATGTCATCCCACAACTCTCTGGTCTTCTGTCTTTAGTATTTAATGTATCAAATCTAAATTCAGGTGGGATATATTCAAGGTCACATTTTGGCTCTCGTGGACTTGTTTTCATTTTCTTCAGTTTCAGTTTGAATTTGCATATGAGTAATTGATGGTCTGTTCCACAGTCTGCCCCTAGCCTTGTTTTCACTGATGATATAGAGCTTTTCTACCTTCTCTTTCCACAGATGTAGTCAATTTATTTTTAAGTATTCCATCTGGCAAGGTCCATGTGTATAGTTGTCTGTTATTCTGTCTAAAGAAGGTATTTGAAATGAATAAATCATTGGTTTTTCAGAATTCTATCATGCATTCTCCAGCATCATTTCTATCACCAAGGCCATATTTTCCAACGACTGATTCTTCCTCTTTACTCCCAACCTTTGCATTGCAATCACCATTAATGATCGATACATCTTGATTGCCTGTTTGACGAATTTCAGTTTGAAGAAGTTGGTAGAATTCTTCTATATCATCCTCACTGACTTCAGTGGTTGTTGCATAAATTTGAATAATAGTAGTATTAACTGGGCTTCCCTGTAGGTGCATGGATATTATCTTATCACAGACAGTGTTGTACCTCATGACTAATCTGGATTTCTCCTTTTTGATGATGAATGCAACACCATTCCTCTTCAATTTATCATTCCGAGAATAGTAGACCATGTGGTGTCATAATCAAAATGGCCAATACCAGTCCATTTCAGCTCACTAATATCTAAGATATCAATGTTTATACTTTCCATTTAATTTTTGACAACTTCCAATTTTCCCAGTGTCATACTTTGTACATTCTATGTTTCGATTTTTAATATATGATTACAGCTGTTTCTCTTCATTTTCATTTGTGCTCCACCAGCAAATGAAGGTCCCATGGGCTTTACTCCAGAGTTGTAGAATCTCTACAACTCTACTTTGAGGAGGCAGTTCTTCCCCAGTCGCATTTTGAGTGCCTTCCAACCCGAGGAGCTCATTTTCTGGCACTATATCCTACAGTGTTTCTCTGCTATTCATAAAGTGTTCAGTGACTAAAGATTTGGAAGTAGTTCTTCACTCTTTCTTCCTAGTTTGTTTTTGTCTGAAAAGCTCATCTGAATCCTGTCCACCATGAGTAATCCTGCTGGTTATTTAACATACTGGTGGCATTGTTTTCAGAATCATCACAACTCACAAGCCACCACATTACGACAATCTGACAGATGAGTGGTGACCATTTGGTTTTAAGTGGAAACTGTCACTTTAAATTTTGAGGAGATTTGTGAGTATGCATAGTAGAAACCTCCAGGAGTGTGGGTGGGGTATCCATTCTCTCAGGCATCCCCTCTATCACCAGAATGAAGGTGTGTAGATGGGAAACAAGAAATAGCTGCCAGAAAATCTATTTAGATTCAGAAGAGGGCAAGAATATCATTTTTAATATCAGATAGATCTTTGCTGACAGTAGACAATATCAGAAATATATTTTTAAAAATATTTTATTGTGAATTAAGTGATTGTTTACACGGGGGAACATCAGTTTTACACTCATCATTTCATTGCAATGATTACAATCTCTGTGCATCATTATTCAGAAGTATTTGCTTCTATTCCCTCTGTTTTTTTCTTTTTTTTTGGGGGGGGGGTGTACACAAAAACACCCAGGAATATATAATCATTTAAATACCCAAAGGGCACATTCTGCAAGCCTTCCTCCTGTCCACTAGGACCTGGCCACCAGCACAGAGCCTTGCTCTTTCTATGAGTCTACAGTCTTCAGCTCCTCTATTTCTCCATGCCCTCATCTCTGTCTCCATTTTTAGTGTCGCTGCTTCTCTGGATAGGGTCCCACATTCCAGTTGTCCTCTTCTATCTTAATGGTCCTAGCATCCTCTGTTCCTTGACTGTAAGATTAACTTTGTCCCTCTTTTTGCTACAAAACTTCTACCTTTACAGTTGTGACAGTCACAATTAGTCAAGATAACAATTGTTCACTATTGAATCATAAGAATGTTATACTCATATCTTTTCACCAGACCAATCTAGACAAGTTGAATACCATTCAGTGGAGATTCTACCTTCCCCTGCCCACTCTGAAACTAAGCTCCCTCTTGAAAACATAAAAGCCAGTTGCTTCATGCCTTTATCACCTCCCATTTTAGGTAGCCAATATCTGAGTTACCTGCCCCTATCTACCTTTTATACAGAAGAGATAGGATTGATCCTTGATGTGAAGACTCCTTTGCTCTCAGTTGATATTTTCAGCTACTACTTCCATAAGTATAGGTCAAATTCATCAAATTATAGCAATTTACACTTTTTTCCTTTATCAGTTTATATATATTCCCTCTAGTCGAGTTCTAATCATCAAGTCATCAAAGCTAGGTCGAATGGGTACTATCTAAAAGTCTAAAAGTTTGGGTACTCTTGTGCATCTTGTACTGGACAATTTGCTCTCAGCTCTACCCCTCTGTGGGCTCAGTAGTCCCCAGGTCTCACCACACTTTGAACCAACCAGCTTTTCCTCTTCTCTCTTTCATCCCTAGGTCGACAGAAGTCAATGGAACATGGTTGAACTTGGCCCATATCTTCATTGCAGCTTTTCCTCCTCTACTGGGAAGATGTTTAACAATGATTTCTTGACTGTGTGAAGACATTTGACTTTGAGTGTCATAAGAAAGCCTGGATAATATTGTGAAGAATGGGAAATATAGAAAACTTAATTATAGTCATGCAGAATCTCTACATAGGCCAAGACAGTCATTGAAACAGAACAATGAAATACTGTATAGTTTAATGATTATTCATGTTTCAGCTTGACATACTGTGGTGGCTTGTGTGTTGCTATGATGCTGGAAGCAATGCCACCAATATTTTAAATACTAGCACTTCACTCATGGTAGACATGTTAACACAGAGCTTCCAGACTAAGACAGACTAGAAAGGAGAAATGAACTACTTCTAAATAGCCAATGAAAACCTTATGAATAGAAGCAGAATACTATCAGAAATGCTTTCTTCAGATTGGAAGATTGTCAAAATATCATGAAGGAAGAACTAACTCCTTAAATTAGAGATTACCTTATTGATGTGGATGCAATTAAATTTTCAGAACCTTTATTTGTGACATTACACAGCTAAAAAAATGAAAAGAATAATTCCAATTTTTCATTAATAATCACAACATGGAAATGAATGAAGTATAAATCTAGGAAAGTTGGAAGTTGTCAAAAATAAAATAAAATAAAATAAATATTGATTTCCTAGGCATTAGTGAATTGAAATGGACGGATATTGGACATTTTGAATCAGATGAGAATATCAAATAGAAGTGGAATTGCCTACCATTCATCATCAAAAAGAACCATGTTATATTTATCCTGAATTGCAATGATGCCTGTGATGTTGTTGTTATTATTAAGTTCCATCAAGTTGGTTCTGACCCATAACGACCCTGTATAGGGTTTCCAAAGAGCAGCTGGTGAGCTTTGCATTTCAAACAGCATTGTAGTCTGAGTATTAGTCCACAGCATCACACCAGGCCTCCTGATGCCTGTGATAGGATAACATATATGGTGTGGTGGTGTAAGATCAGTACTAGAATGTGATCCACAAGGTCGACAGTTCAAACCCACCAGCTGCTCCTAGAAACCCTATACAGGGTCACTATCAGTCTGAACTGACTTGACAGAACTTAACAACAGTAAAAGAGTCAGTTAATACCACTATTATTCAAATTTACCCACCAACAAGTGGTAAAATCAGTGATGGTGAAATTGAAGAACTCTACCAATTTTATCAGTCTGAAACTGATCAAACATGTGAGAAAGATGCATTGATAATTACTTGTGATTATTTAAAAGTTGTCAACAAGGATGAAGTAGCTATCCATTTTTGGAAAATGTGATTGTGGTTATAGAATAGATGCTTGATATAGCACAATAATTTTGCAAGTCTAATGACATATTCATTGCAAATATTTTTTTAAAACAAGATAAAAGGTGACCATAAGCCTGAACCTCACCATATGTAATACACAGAAATCAGATTGGTGACATCTGTGGGAAGACACGATGGAGAAGTTCATCGTCAGCCAAAAGAAGGCTAAAGGCTGACTGTGGAACAGACCATGAATCATTCATATCTGAGTTCAGGCTGAAGCTAAAGAAAATTAAAAAAAAACTCCATGAGAGCCAAAATATGACTTTGAGTATATACCACCTCAATTTAGAGACCATCTTAAGAACAGATATTATGCATTAGATACTAAAGACAAAAGACCAGAAGAGGTGTAGGGTGACATCAAGAGTATCATACATGAAGAATGCAAAATGTCATGTAAGAGTCCATGTCATAATTGATTGGAAAGATAATGGATTTGTCCCACCAACTCTTTGAAGTCCCTTTTTGTCCATGCCAATCCCTTCATTAAGAATCTTTTTTTTTATTCATGAGTTTGAATTACTTTTTAGTGTCTTTCCCTTCCATCTGCAGAATTCACAGTATCAGTTTTTGTATGTCTGGTCTGGTGGATAAGAAGTCTGCTAGCTTCTGTTTATCTGGGAATACTTTAATTTCACCCTCATTCTTGAAATATAGCTGCCAGAAAATTAAGTTAGATTCAGAAGAGGGCAAGAATATAATTTTTAATATCAGATAGATCTTTGTTGACAGTAGACAATATCAGAAATATATTTTTAAAAATATTTTATTGTGAATTACGTGATAGTTTAAATGGGAGAACATCAGTTTTGCACTCACCATTTCATTGCAATGATTACAATCTCTGTTTAGGGTTTCTAGGAGCAGCTGGTGGGTTTGAACTGTCGACCTTGTGGATCACTGTCTTCTTGGTTCATAGTTGTTGTTATTTTCAG